ATCTATAGATCTGATTTAACGCACAGATAGGATCGGAGCAGTGGGAGCAGAACAAAGGCATCTGAGCTCCGCTCGGAGCCGCCTCTCCAACCCGGCCCCTCGTTAGCGGGGTTGGGTTTCTTTAGGGGAAAATTGATGGTATCAACAAGTATCAAACAATATCCTCGTTCCTCGGGAAAGGTAAATGCTAATCTATGCGAGCTGAGCTCATGTGACTTATCAGTTACTAAAAATAGTTGTTTTCAGGCACTGATTTAGGGATTCTGGCAGATTTCCTAAGCCTTTGTACAGACACACCACTGAAATGGAAAAGACAAAATACACAAGCAAAGCAGGGAGGGGGGGGGAAAAATCTGACAGGGCCAAAACGGCCCCTGAGGGTGAGGGAGGACCCAGCCGTCCCCGTGAGCAGCCACAGAACGTTAATTCCAAGCGAGGATTCCGAGGAGGATTCAGCCCAAACCCCTCTGCCTAAGATGGCCTCTCGCTCACAGTTCTGGCGCTGGCAGGGGGAATACACAGAATCCAGAGGACGAGAGGAATTGTCCCTTTCCTGGGCTCCAGAAAGGGTGTGAGGATTCTCCCGGGGCGGGTACCTGAGCAGGGAAATAACCCATCCAAGCCCACGGCTGCGGGGGAAGAGACTCCGCACCCGGAGTTTGTTTGCAAACATTTGAAACTGCAGAGTCTGTGCCTGAGTTTGTGGCGTCTTTAAGGAAATATTCTGGGAAATACAAGCTGGGAGAAAAGAGAGGGAGGAGGAAATTGCTGATGCAAACCTAAATTCTTTAAATAAGGCTTCCCCACTGAGACCTTGAGCAGAAAATGATAACCAGCAAGAGGTGCAGGTAGAAATTCCTGCGAGAGTGATTTCCCCCCTGCTCCCGAAGCCTCCCTGCAGCTTCTGTGTGATCATCCCTGTAGATTCCCGTCTGCCAGAGCCGCTGGCACTTGGGAATGTGGGTGAGGAAGAGGAGCTGGTGTTTGAAGCAGCCAAGCCCCCTCCTGCTGCAGCTGCCCCTGCGGTCTCGCCTGTCCCCCGTGCCAGACACCCCTGCTCCCCGGCAAGGGAGGAAGGAAGGAAGGATGGAGACGCTTCCCCTCCATCTCGGAGAGGCGGATCCGCTCCTCGGGGACTCGGCAGATCGTTGTCAAGTCGCCTGCCAGGATTTCCTCCCGACTGTCATAACTTGGGAGCGTCGGGAGAAAATGTCTGCACCCGGGCCGTGGGTGCTCGGGAGCGGGGCAGCGCGCACCCACCCAGCGCCAGATGTTCCAGATGTGCCCGCACAAAGAGCTCTTTCCCCTCTGCTTTGCCAGTAAGAACCAAAAGCTTTGGGCTGCGAGCCCGAGGGCAAGCAGGGCTCGTCCCTCCGATCCCTGCGGCGGCAAATCCCGCCTGCATTCCCGGCTCGTCCAGGGGGACTGCGAGGTCCTTGGTGGGCAGAGGGAAGGGGGACGATCCGGGCTGAACCCCCGTCCTCCCTAAAGGACAGGAGCCAGCCCCAACAGGACATCCCGAGGGCTGGGATGTCTCCTCCCCACGCCGGGCTGGATGGGGGTCTTGCTTCCACCGCAGTGCCAGGGGACAGTGAGGACACCCTGGGACAGCTGGGACATCCCAGGGACAGGGCAAACAGCGAGGGCAGGACCTGGCGTGGGCCCCACCCCAGCGCGGGGCTCGGCGGCGTCTCCCGCAATGCCCAGCCCTCCCCGTCGGGGAGCGGGGGATCGGGAGCTCCGCCGAGTTCAGCACCCGGGACAGCTCTGGCGATCCGCTCCTCCGCCCGGGACAACGCCGCCCGCCTCCCGAAAGCGCCTTCTCCCGGGACACGGCATCCCCGGGGAAAACTGCCCTCCCTCGGCAGGCTGGCATTCTGCGAGCTGCCCCCCTGCCCTCCCCAAACCGCCCCCCTGACCCCACTTCGGGCAACGGCGGCTCCCGCTCCCCGCCATGGCCCCGGGCAGAGTGCCGCCTGTCCCGGGCTCGCTGCCCGCCTGCCACCCCCGCACTCGGCGCAGCTGCCCTCCCGGCCGGGCACACGGCGTGCCCTGCCCCGTGCCAGCTCGCTGCTCCGGGCTGCGGGGGAGACACCCCGCGGGGCGAGCCGGGCTCGCAGGCGCTGGAGGAACTTTGCGGGGTGCGAGGGACGGGGGGGACACCCACAGCGTGTCCGGGGCGTGGGGGGAGAGTGGGAGCCGCGTCTCGGAGCAGCAGAGCGGCTTTCTCCGGGCACGCCCCGCGCGTGTCCCCGCTCCGCGGAGCCCGGCACTGCCAGGGCTGGGGTCCCGCCGCCTCCCCTTCCCCTTCCCCGGCCGCGGGCACGGCGCGGCCCCGGTGCCCGGAGGCGGCGGCGCTTCCGACGGGGCGCACGGTCCCGCAGCCCCTGCAAAGTTTCGCGGAGAAGCGGCGCCCGGCGCGGGGCTGGGGGCACCTACCGTGCGGCGGAGGGGAGCCGTGCCCGGCCCCGGCCCCGCGGCCGGCCCCGCATCCCTCCCGGCGGCTCGGCAGGGACGGAGCCCGGCGCGGCGCTGGGCTCGGCTGGGCTGGCAGGGGGGAGCCAGTCCTCGCTGCGCCCCTTTATCCCAGCATCACCGAAACGAATCCGCTTTGACGTCCAACCAGGGTTTTTATGGGTGTGGAGCGAGCCGGTGCAGCCCTCATTAGGAGACACTCCGCTCTCCAAATCATACATCTTTTATATAACCTCATTTCCAGCGTGGCTTTTCTCCCCCCCTCCCTCCCCTTGCCGGGGAGCATCGCCCACCCCCCCAACTCCCCCACCAATTAAAGAGCTCAGAGACACCCCCCGGCCCCCACTTGTTGCTGGAAGCTCCGCTTCACCCCCCGCGGGCCTGACTCAGCCTGCCCCGGGCGAGAGGGGGGCTCTGCCTGCCCCGGGGGGCAGCGGAGGGGCTCAGTGCTCCCCAAGTCCCCAAGTCCCCTCCCAGCCCTGCTGCAGCCCCCACATTCCTGTCCCCAGGCAGGTTGCGCTGCAGAAAATCCCGCTCCTCTCCTGGCAGCCCGTGGCTGCTCGGTGCCCAGGGCAGACACCACCATTCCTCGGGGAGCTCCCGGCGCTCCCAGCCCGGCTCCGGGCGCTGCTGGGACATCCCCGCGCCTCGGCTGCCGGAGCTGGCCCTGGGCTGCGCACGGGGCAGGGAACAAAGGGGCTCCTCACCCCATCGCCCCTCCTGACTCTTCATCTGCCCCCAGCGCGGCCCAGAGCAGACCCAGGCTCGACATCAGCCTCCAGCCTTTGCGATTGTGCTCATTCCCATGGCAACAACAAACACACAATTATAGATATATAATATTATATAAACCCAGCGGGCTCTCGGGCAGGGCTGTGGGGTTCAGCCGCTCCCAGCCTGCCCCGAGCCCAGCGGGAGCTCCCACCGGGGCAGGGAGAGGTGTCCTGAGCCTGCTGAAGGTGCCCAGCCCGTGGATGCCCGGCGGCTCCGGTGCCACCCAGCCCCCGTGCCTCACCAGAGGCAGGCGAACAACACAGGGCACAGCAGGCGGCTCAATTACAGAACTTCCCACGGCGAAGGGGAGCGGAGCAGCCCCGCTCCTGCCCGGCGCACCGGGAGCTGTGCAGAGGCGCAGAGGCGGAGAGGACGGGCAAATGCAGCAGCGGAACCGGGGCTGCCTCCCCCGTTCCGCCCCTCCTCACCGAGATCAGGCTGTAACACTGTCTGGGGCTGAGGAGAACGTGATTCTGCCTGTTTAGAGGCAGGAGGACTCATCTAAGAGCAAGCTGCCCAAGGACATCTGCACTAACCCACCGGCCGGGGAGCGCTGCCCCGCGCAGGGAGCAGTGACAGCGGTGACAAAGGACTTCGTGACCCGGTGGCGATGGGCTGGGAAAAGTCCAAGCCCTTCTCCTTGCAGGGCTCACAGCTCGGAGCCGTAGAGCTGCAGGGCTCTGCGGGCTGGAGCAGTTTTCCCTGGATAGGGGTGCAGGCAGACGCAGGCTCACGCAGGGCTGGTGGCTGTGATGTCACCTGTTCGAGGGGACTCTGCGCTGCCAAAGCCACCCCAGCACACGGCCACCAGCACCTCCTGCCAGCGAGGCAGATCCCTTGGAGGAAGCAGAGCCCTGATCCAGGGGAGCAGAGCTCGCTGTGCCACTCTGGGACACGGCTTTGCCAGTCCAGACTCCCATCCTCTACCAGCCCAGGATCCCAGAACAGAGCTCTGCTCATCCCTGGGCCTCATCCTCCGGGGCACGGCAGCGCCTCCTTCCCCACGGGGATGGTTTTGGGATAACCGGGAGCTCTGCTGCTGCCCGGAGATCCGCGTGAGGCAGGAGCAAAGTATCCCTGTGGGGAGGGAGCCGGCGGCCTGCGCTCCCCTGCGCCAGGGAGGAGCCCCAGGTAGCCTTTCCCTCCCGCTGGAAGCCGTGAGTCAGCCGGGAAGGGAAGGCTTGGAGGCTCATAAACAACTACTGAGGAGGCAGCGGGTGGGCTGTGAATGGAGAAGGTGGAGCGAGACCCTCCCCAGCACAGCCGCACCACTGAGCCCCTTCCCCGCACAGCTCCTGCTGTGACAGCCGAGGCTGCGCCTTCCTCCCTCCCTCCAGAAAAAAGCGTCTGGGGAGAGCAGGGAACGTGTCCCTGGCATCCTGCCTCACCCTCCCTGGGCACCCCAGAGAGCAGCCCCCAGCTCTGGAGGAACCCCCCCATTGCCAGCCTCGTCCATGGAAGTTGCTTTCCCCTTTCCCACAGCTGGGAGCCGATTCGGGCGGTGCTGCCTGGGAAGTTATCCCCCAAAACTGCTCGGGAGAGGGAAGAGCCGCCTCCCCGCCCCTCGCAGCGCTGCTGCCCCGTTCCCCCTCTCCTCTGGCAGCAGCTCAGCGCCTCTCGCTCCCGGCCATATGCTGCCAGAGGTTAGGGATAGAAACCGAATATAAACCCAGCGCTTAACGCCCGAATTTCCTCCCCGCCCCGCCGCTCCCGCTGCTTCCCCTGTGCCGCTGCCCTTCTCCCTCACCCACCTCTCGGAGGGGAGCGTGCCGAGGGGCTGCAGCCGGGTCCCTCGGCCGGAGGATCCCGGGATCCGCCGGGAATGTGCCGCTCAGGATGCTCGGCTCTCCCTGAGCTCCTTAGGAACGCGTGGCCTCGCACGGATCACACACACGATCTCCGCGGCTCGGGGGTTACCGGGCTGCTCTTCCCACGCGTGCGGGGGGATCACAGCCCGCGGAGCAGGGCAAGGGCTGAACACATTTCCACCAAAGCTTTGCGCGCCCCGCACACACAGCGGCGGCCGGGAGCGGGGTCTGGCACTGCCACTGCGGCGATTTGGGACAAATCCCAGGATTGTCTGCCCGTGCTCCAGTTTAGAGCGAGCGCCGATGCTGGGCTTTGCCTAGAGGTGGCAGTGAGCCTTCGCTCTTCGCCCTTCCCTTTCCCCGACCCCCGGCACAGCCCGGCAAGTCGCGGAGCTCCGGCGGGCTGGGGCAGGGTGGCTGTGACCGCACAGGGACAGGAGGGACCCGCTGGTCCCTCCGGAACCCACGCACGCTCTGCGGCCTCGGGGGATTCCTTGGCATCGTCCCCTGTGCACGGGGCGAAGGTTGGGGCTCATCGAAGCCAGGTCTGGAGCGAAACTGGGCTTTGATCAAACCCTTAGAACCTGGGAGTTCATGGCCAGGGCAGGTCGCTTTTAAAACATCCCTGGGCCAGCTCCCAGCTCCTCCCTCCCTCCCCGCGACATTTTAGGGGAAAACTCTTTGTCCCCCACCTGCAGGAGCTGTCACAGCCCTCAGCGACCAGGCAGAGCTGTGACAACGCGAAATACCCCAGCACAAACCCCAGATCCAACAAGACACCTGCAAACCCCACCAAAAGCCACGTTTATGTCCCAAACCTCCCCGCCCTGGGGGTCAGAGTTGGAAAACGCTGCTGGAAAGATTCCTTGGGAGCTCCTCTCCTCCTCCTCCTCCTCGGCACGAGGTGGGTGATGAAGGGTGATCTCTCTCTCTCACACGTGGGCACACACGCACGCAGCAAATCTAATAAAAAGATATTAGTCCGAGAGAATTTGGCTCCTGGCATTCAACTATCTCGAGCTTCATACAGACACCAAAGAAATGAGATTATGGGAGCACACAAACAAGAAATTCCAGGGGGATGAATTCATGTTTCATCGCTGTTACAGGGCAGGGAAGGACCTGTCTGTCTTCCCTTGCATTTCTTTTTAAATTCTACTTCAAAATACGAACCCCCTCCCTTCAAAAGTCACATTTCCTCCAGCCCCAAGCCCTGGCACCTTCCCATCAAAATCCAAATTGCTCTCATTATCATTTTAAGGATGCGTTGAAGGGCTGACAAACACCCCAAAGTTCAAGGACTCCTTGTAAATCCGGGGTGTAATTTAAATTTAAAAACCCCGCTTTGACACCTCTCTTGGCAGCCTGAAAGGGGCTGGAGTCACTCCTGGGTTATTCAGATGCAAACCCTGTTTGGAAGCACGAGTGGCTGAGCTGAGCCATCCCCAGCAGCTGGAGCCTGGGGGCAGATGCTCCGCAGCAGCAGCAGAGCTCCACGACTCCACTGGAATCAGCGGAATCGAGATCATTAAAGCCAGCTAAAAGCAGCCGCTTCCCGGGATTTTGTGCCATCTGAGTCCCTATTTCCAGCCCCTTCCTTCCCAGCGGGATCAGGCCCCCAAACGGCACCTCTGAACCTTTAGATCAATTCTTGCTGTAATTACAGACCAGGAAAATCGCTCTCGTGTCAACCTTAAGCAGTAAATGTCGAGGTTTACTTTCCTTTTTTTTTTTTTTTTTTAACGAAGTGACAATTCTGAGGGCTGTGGCTTAAAGACTCTTTTGAAAAGCCCCAAATCCCTAATCCGGAGTGAAAAGTTATCGCTGGAGCACCTTGGGGTGGGTGGCGACAAGCACAGGAAAGGGCCGGGGCGCTGGGTAAATAGGGCCGGGGAGGAGTGCAGCAGCCTGACGAGCCTGATAAGCCAAATCTGCACAGCATTCACTGCAAAAAACCAGCACAAAGCAAACCCAAGAGCACAGAAACAGCTGCTGCCGAGTTCTTCATTTCTAAAGAGGAGCAAGGAGGGGAAAAAATAATATGATAAAAATAATCCGCCACGAAGCAGCAAAGTCCCTCGGTGCTGGCCTGGAGGGAGGAGGCTCCAATTCCCTGCTGGCCCCAGACCCACTCCAATAAAATGTGTATTTTATTATAAATGAAATGTGTATAAGGTGTATCAGGGAATACACTCTAACAGGGAATTCGGGCATGCCACCGGGAGGAGGGAGCAGTGAGTAGGGTTAGGTGGGATTTTGGGAAGGAATTGTTCCCTGGGAGCGTGGGGAGGGGCTGGGATGGAATTCCCAGAGCAGCTGGGGCTGCCCCTGGATCCCTGGAGTGCCCAAGGCCAGGCTGGGCAGGGCTGGGAGCACCTGGGGCGCTGGGAGGTGTCCCTGCCATGGGAATGGGGTGAGCTTTAAGCTCCTTTCCCACCCAAACCGTTCCATGATTCCAGGTCTGGAATCCAGCCTGGATGGAGCACAAAGAGCAAGGAGAAGGTGACCATGAGGAGGGCAAATCCCAGCTCCCAAATTAATCACAGCCCAGCAAAATAATAATAATAATTTTAAAAAACCTTTGAGTGATGTTCACCTCCAAATCAGCCCCGTCTGGCTGATTCCAAACAGCTGCCACGGAGCTCTCCCAGCCCAACTCCCAGAAAAAGAGGGACAAACAAGAATTCAGGAGAAGGAGCTGTCAGATTTTCCTCCTTTTTTTCCCCCAAATCCAACAAAAAGCCTCTGCTCAGCCTTCCCACCAAGTGAGGAGAAGTTTGCAGATGCTGTGCCAGGAATCTGGATGTATTCCTGGCACGGCTGTAATGGGATATTGACACTGCTGGAATTTGAAGCTACTTAAACTTCTCAGCCCCCCAAACCACTTTGCTTTGAGCCAACAAACACCAGCCTGGCCAAGAGAGCTGAGCACCAAGCCCCAGAAGCGGAGTTGGATGTGCCAGACCCTAAAAAACCTCAATAAACAACAACAACAACAACAAAATCTAATAAATACAATACTGTATAATAAATATACAGTATATATAATGTATATATATACAATATATCCTATATAGTATATATAAATATAAAAATATATTATATAGCATTATATATATTATAATACATAAAATAATAAAAACCACTTTGCTTTGAGCCAACAAACACCAGCCTGGCCAAGAGAGCTGAGCACCAAGCCCCAGAAGCGGATTTGGATGTGCCAGACCCTAAAAATCCTCAATAAACAACAACAACAACAACAACAACAACAACAACAAAATATAATAAATACAATACTATATAATAAACATACAGTATATATAATGTATATATATACAATATATCCTATATAGTATATATAAATATAAAAATATATAGTATTATATATATTATAATACATAAAATAATATCATAATATAGAATAATAAAAATGTAATAATGATAATGATGATGATGTTCCTAAAAATCCTCAATAAACAACAACAACAACAACAACAACAACAACAACAAAATATAATAAATACAATACTATATAATAAACATACAGTATATATAATGTATATATATACAATATATCCTGTTGTTGTTGATGATGATGATGATAATAATAATAATAATAATAATAATAATAATAATAATAAGGAGAAGTTTGCAGATGCTGTGCCAGGAATCTGGATGTATTCCTGGCACGGCTGTAATGGGATATTGACACTGCTGGAATTTGAAGCTACTTAAACTTCTCAGCCCCCCAAACCACTTTGCTTTGAGCCAACAAACACCAGCCTGGCCAAGAGAGCTGAGCACCAAGCCCCAGAAGCGGAGTTGGATGTGCCAGACCCTAAAAAACCTCAATAAACAACAACAACAACAACAAAATCTAATAAATACAATACTGTATAATAAATATACAGTATATATAATGTATATATATACAATATATCCTATATAGTATATATAAATATAAAAATATATAGTATTATATATATTATAATACATAAAATAATATCATAATATAGAATAATAAAAATGTAATAATGATAATGATGATGATGTTGTTGATGATGATGATAATAATAATAATAATAATAATAATAATAATAATAATAATAGTAGTAGTAGTAGTACCAACTCAATACAGAGATTTTTGGCTGCCTCCAGACACAGCCCAGTGATTCACCTGGGAGAGGCTCCCCCTGAGCAGCCCCTGGGATCTCAGGCTGGACTGGTCCCAGTAAAGGGAGGGAATTGGGGCCCAGCAGCTCACTGGGGTCCCTGGGAGCCCCGTCCTGGGTGGGGCTGGAATCTCCAAGAAGGTGATGGAGATTTTGCCTGGAGTCAAGACCACCCCTGCCACCCCCTTGTGATTGCCAGGGGTGGGTTCCAGCTCCAAGCCCAGCTCCCTGGCTTTATCCCCCACGTTTCACACACCCTTTTCCCACGGCTCCCAAACCCATCCCGAATTGAGCTGGATTGGCCAGGATGAGGCAGAGGACAAAGCCCACGAATGCAGGATGCTCCCTCAGGAAAGGGAGACCAAAGGGATCCCCAAAAACAACCCCAAACCTTCCAGAGTTTTGGTGCTGTTGGAGAAGGGAAATTGTCCCTGAGTTTAAAATCTGGAGGATTTTCCCCTCTGGATACATCCCGGGGGTGATGGCAGCTCCACCAAGGGCTGGAATTGCTGCCCAGAAATCCCAGCTGCTCTCGGAGGGGATCCAAGGATGTTTTCCTCCAGGATATTTACATCGAGGAGCTTATCCCCAGGATCAATCCTGGCAGGGAGAGGATTCCTGGTGCCTGGAGTGTCCAAGGCCAGAGCAGGGACTGGAGCAGCAAGGTGAGCAATGCCAGGGTTGGCTCTCACAATCAAAAGGCAAATATCCTGTAGATATGTTAATTTTATAGATTTATAATTATGTTTTACCCCCCTTGTGCTGTTAGCAGGGGTGGCCTGGGTTTGGGACCTTTGGGAGGGTCACTCATTGCTACGGCAGCACCTGAGCTCCAGTCAGGATTTATGCAGAGATCTCCACCCCTGGGCAGGGAAGGAGGAGCCGATGGACAGAACTTTGGGAGGTTAAAGGGTTAAAAAGCCAAATGTCCATGGTGTGGGTGAGCACGTGGTGGGGAAAATCCTCTGCTCCTGGCACCATAATAATTTCTCTATTCAGTCTTCTGTTGTGTTTTTGATAAGGTTTAATAAACCTTTCACATTTTTTAAGGTGAGCAGGGTTTCTCACACCGGGATAGTG